AGTTCGAAGAGGACGGAATGAATCACCTCGATGCCAGCAATGACGGGCAATATGGCCAGCACCTCCGCAGTGAAAGCATAGTAGACGCCTGTCGACTGTGCGCCATGCATCTGTTCTTCGGGTCGGTGGACGTCTGAGCATCTCCCCTACCGTCGATGCCCGTGCCGTGGCTGTGGACGGCTGGTTGTATGGCTGTAGCATGGGTGGTTGCTGTAGTGTTTACTCTTGCGGCGGTGACAAAGGGCCATAGGCACCTGATGTACGGCGTCGGCGTAAGGGGTGGTGGACATCGGAGAGCGGCAGCGTAGCTCATGGGATGCTACTCAGCATCAGGACCAGTCGTAGAGAACGCTTGGCGGATTTCGTCACGTACGACTTCAACGACCGACGCAATGGGAGTTTCAGCAACCGAAGTCTGGAACTTTTGCAGTTCTTCGCGAACTATTTCCCTAATCAAGTCTCGCAAAGAGCTCTGACAGACGTCATGGCGATAGCATTGATTGGGACATTGCTGCCCATACGGTAATATTCCCTGCAGCGTTGATGAAAGGCCCACTCGGTAGGCGAAGCCTCCTTAATAAAGTCAACCACGGTACTTGGAGGGTTGCGCAGTAGCCCGGCGAAAAGCTGTTTCTTGACGCCGCTGTTTCTTGAAGTCAACTTTTTATTTTCCGTCATGTGCGGGTTAGCTCACGAAAGAGACGAGTCATGTCCACGGCAAACATTGCAACGGTTTCGTTAGGTTTTTGAACCCGTAGCTCCAATAACTGCTGCGCAAGGTCCCGTCGATCGACATTGGCGAAGGTATCGACGAACTGCTGTCGAAGGTCCGGCCAAGTTGACAGATTGGCTTCTCTATTCTCATACCAAGTATGAGTGCTGTCGTCAAGGTAGAAATAGGCGCAAGAAAGCTTTTCCTGTTCCGGCTACTGATTTATCTTGGCAACGCGCTCGTAGTGAATGAGCCAGTCGTCAACGTCTTTATGGGAGCCGCCCCTAAAGCGATCGGGAACAAGTGGTCGAAAGATGGTCACCTGAGATGGGTGCATCAGAAAGCTGCCTTGGGGCGCCTGTTGGCGGCTTGCGTTGGCCATTGGTTGAGGTGAGTGGTGCCTGCGAGGTTCCGGCGAGGAAGTGAGCACTGGCGCGAGGCCTCGCAACAGTCGACTGAAGCGATGCAGAGGAGTTGCAACAGGTGACAATGCGTCTGGACTGGATCGACTCCCAGCGGGCGTGTGGCAGGGTGGCTACCTCGCACCTCCACCAGTTTCATGGTACAACGCAAACAAAACACAGGTACGCCTTGCGACTGCGAAAGCGGCTTGTTCTCAACAGCTTAGTCGCAAGATTGTCTTCTTTGTTCCCGAGTAAAGCTAGAGGCCTACTACTTGGTATTCGCTAAATCCCCCATCATCGTTTTCGTCTACATGTAGACACACGTCAATGTATGTATGTATATATATATATATATATATTTCCACCTACCTGTGGAGAAAGCATGTGACTAGGTTTATTGAATGTTCTCTAGCTGTCGTGTACATGTTCCCTCTATTATGTGACGCCGTTTGCATAGCGAAAATTGGTAGGTGTGTCAATGTATGTCTGCGCAAGTACTATAACAATGTAAACAACAAAGTTTCTTCTGGTAGTTTTCTGGCTATGCATTGTAAGACGTCTGCATGCACTCCATTGTTTGGCCAATGTATCATTATTGAGCGCAGCAATAACCAATTGACAAGAGAACTATTGAGGCGAACTCTATCGAAAAGTGTGTGAAGCAGCATGCGTACCATGATCTCAAAAAAAAAAAGCTTGATGTTCATGGATGTGAACAGCGACGTACTCATATCGAATTTTTAGTTTTACAATCTACTTTAAGCTAAATTTTTTGTCACGTATGTTGCGCCACATGCTTTAGGTTTTTGTAATGTGCACGGTACACATGTGCCTTATTATCTGAAAAAGAAGCTCTATTTTCTTGTGTGTGAACAGTGACGTACCGATCTAGAATTGTTAGTTTTACAATCCACTTCAAGCTACATTTTCTGTCACGTGTGCTGTGCCACCCGCTTAAAGGACCCCTGACAGCGAAAGTTTTTATTGCGAGTTTACAGTAATTTGTAGCTTTGCGTCTGGTAATGCCAAAATTTTATATTAAATGCTCTAAGGCCCAAACAACGAAACGTTCCTTTCCTTTGACCGCGTCCTCTCCTTACGTGAGGCTTCCTTACAACCAAGTACCGACGGAGGAAGCAAGCGTACTCTGAAAGCTCCCTTAACCCGTCCTCGCGGGAGGAATGGTTGCCGCGCTCCTGCGTTCGAGATTATCGAATATAAGCTTTGCTCACAAGCGTTTATTCTGTAAAAAAAAGTTGGGTCACCACATCACTTCCAAATTGAAGTGTTAATATAGAGACGCGTGTACGCTTTCTTCAAACTACGATTACTGAATGTGAAAAGCCACCGTAGTTGAGCGCGAAACGTGGTGCATTCTAACAACACTGAAACGCCCCACGGAGGAAGGAAACGGGTTTTCTTTTCTTCCTCCGTGGTGCAGTGCACGCACGCTCGCCGCTCGCGTCTCCCCACAGGGGTGTGGTGAGAGGGTTGCCTCGAAAACGAAAACATCACGTGGGCTAGCTGTGAGGCGAAGCGCTCGTTCAGGGCAAGGAGCGGACCTAAGGGCGCACGAAGGTAGCCCCAAAGCAACCTTAAGCTGAGGAAGCGCCAAGGAAGCCTTCACCGAGGGCTCCTTAGTGAGGAAGCTTTCAGAGTGACATAAGGCGGCCTCACAAAAATGAAGGCTTCCTTACTGAGGAAAGGAACGTTTCGTTGTTTGGCCCTAACGCATTGCATAATTATTGCTAGTGGCATTCATTCAGAACAATTTTGCGTGAGCTCAAAACATCTGCCTAAATGCCGTAAGAAAACAGTGCCCCACTGGGAAGCTGTGCCTGAGCGTGTAGTGAAGAATGAAACGTTGTGGGTGCTTTGAGAGCATCCCCCTCAGAAAAAAGAAATGCATTACTGGCACAAGCAGCCAAAAGCACCTCGAGAGCAGCCCAACAACAGAGGGTGAGAGGAGACGAACAATAGTCTTTGCTGGGTGCCAGTCGGGGCATTGTGCGCGCCCCGCAAATGTTAACCTTGCGACGTCACAAGGGAAGTCTTTGTCGGCGTAAAACCACAGAAAATGTAGATTGCACTTCAATACTTGAAAGAGCAGGCACCCCTACTAATACTTTAAAACCAAATTAAAATATCTTCTAGGCTATGCTCGCCACTAATAATTGGCAAAAGGTGGCCCCGCATGCAGGACTATCAAATAACACAAGTATCTCGAGTTTCTGAATTCGGTGTCAGGGGTCCTTAAAGGTTTTTGTAATGTGGACGGTACGCATGTGCCTTATTTGAAAAAAAGCACTATTTTCGTGGCGTTAACAGTGACATATTGATATAAAATTGTTAGTTACTATACAATCCACTTCAAGCTACACTTTCTGTCACGTGTGCCTTAACTGAAAAAAAGCTCGATGCTCTTGGGTGTGAACAGTCACGTACTGATATAGAATTGTTAGTTTTACAATCTACTTTAAGCTATATTTTCTGTCACGTGTGTTGCCCGCACGTGTATGGTGCACATTACAAAAACCTCAATTTCTTGGGCATTAACAGTGACGAACTGATATAGAATTGTTAGCTTTACAATCTACTTCAAGCTACATTTTTTGTCACATATGTTGCGCCACACGCTTAAGGTTTTTGTAATGTGCATGGTACACATGTACCTTATCCAAAAAAAAGCTCGATGTTCTTGGGTGTGAATAGTGGCGTACTTATATAGAATTGCTAGTTTGGCAATCTACTTCCAGCTAAATTTTCTGTCACGTGCGCTGCGCAACATGCGCAAGGTTTTTGTAATGTGCACGGTACACATGTTCAACTAGGTGAGCTATATAATGTGCTGTAGTGTCACGCAATAAACAAAAATTCGAAGTTAAGCACTCATCCTCTCGTCTGCATTTACCTTCTTCATTGGCTTCTTTTTCTTCACACTCAAACAGAGCTGTGCTATAACCTAAGCATTTTGTGTTACAGTACACTCTCGGTAAATGAAAATATCATCAGAAGTACTGCTCAAACAGAGCTACTGCCACTGATAAGATTGGTTCCATAAGTTTATTTTGCATGCCTGTTCATCTCTCAGTAAACAGAATTCCTGCTAAATGGAACATATTTCTCCAATCACTTCATGTTTCATTTAACAAGAGTCGATCTACTTTGTATTGCGCAGTAGAAGCATAGAATCACACAAGGCGTATCACCATTAGAAATGCACAATGAGTAGGTAGTTCGCTAAATGGAACATATTTCTCCAATCACTTCATGTTTCATTTAACAAGAGTCTACTTTGTATTGCGCAGTAGAAGCATAGAATCACACAAGGCGTATGACCATTAGAAATGCACAATGAGTAGGTAGTTCGCTAAATGGAACATATTTCTCCAATCACTTCATGTTTCATTTAACAAGAGTCTACTTTGTATTGCGCAGTAGAAGCATAGAATCACACAAGGCGTATCACCATTAGAAATGCACAATGAGTAGGTAGTTCGAAGCTGCCAATCCTTTGCAAAGAGCTGAATCATAAGACTAACTTTTTGCCATCATCACTGCCAAAGTAACAAAAAAATGTGCAGCAACATAGGTGCATGCATATCCTTACCGACACAGCATGGTGTGTTTGCAACTGTAACTTCAGTAGGTGTCATACGCAGAGATGTTTTTTTCTGATGGCGTAGCTGAGGTGTCCACAGAGAAGCAGAGAATGGCAAATGAATGAGAAGGCGATGCAAATGGGGCTTTATTATAAGACTATCACGTTGCGCCCTTAAAGCTGAACCTCAAGCATCCTCCAGGCATTTCAGTCACAAAATGGTTTTCCCTGCTGCATACACAGCAACAATGTTTGGCTCGCATGTTTACTGAAGCCCTGATAATAGATTAGCAACAACATTTTGCATGTTCAAAAAGTGTTGCAGAGCTCCTTTATTCAGAAACACTGAAACAATTGTTCAGGGACATTTTAGGTTTACTTACATGGAATATGCAGTTCAGGCATTTAGGAAAGTTATAGAAACAATTTTACAGGCTTTATTAAAAAAAGTCAGTGCAGATGACAAGGGTAGTGAAAATCAACAAACAAGCATAGTCCATTACTTAGACATGAACGTGTGGCTTGTTCAGGTCCTCAGCCTTGGGTTCTTTCGTGCTTCTACTTTTAGATGAACGGCCATATTTTTAGTACTTGGCAAAAATGCTATCGTCCAGAGATGTAATAACTGTGAGGTTTCTCCCGAACCTGCAAGAAAGAAAGATCAAATGCTCATGGCACAGCCCTTTTGTACAACTGCCTGTCTTTTCAATACCACCATCAGTAACAAAGCTCTAAAGATGAACAGTGCGCGGCTTTGGTTTGTGCAGTCAAACCATTGAGTTAAGATTAGGTGTAATGGTGTCTAATCATAACGTACCTTGAATGTTGCTGTATGGGTAAGCCCTTTATTCAATTCATTATAATTTGTTTTGCGATGAGTGCAGTATATTTGATGACCAAAAAAAAAAAAAAAAACACCAGTGCAACACTTTCAGTTTCGAGTCTATATGCTCACATGGGATCAAATAGTGTCAGATGCACCGAAAAGAGCAGTCGAGCCCACTTATAACGAGCCTGAGCGTGATGCAGCCTCCATTTGCTGTATCACAAAGTTCCTGATGATGACGATTTGTGGGGTTTAACGTCCCAAAACCCACATATGATTATGAGAGACGTCGTAGTGGAAAGCTCCAGAAATTTTGACCACCTGGGGTTCTTTAACGTGCACCCAAATCAGAGTACACGGGCCTACAACATTTCCGCCTCCATCGGAAATGCAGCCGCCACAGCCGGGATTTGATCCCGCGACCTGCGGGTCAGCAGCCGAGTGCCTTAGCCACTAGACTACCGTGGCGGGGCCACAAAGTTCGTAGTGAATGAATCACAGCTCTGAAAAAAGTGGCGAGTGAACACACAATTTTTAAGAATCCGTAATGCACATGTTTTGAGTATATCAGAAGCGATAAGGATAGTCTCAAGTTCACTTGAAGCAGCAGGGTTCTCTTCGCCGCAACCCGTAGCACATAGTACAAGCTGCCTGAGGCTACGGTTGTGGGCACTGTACCCGAAGTTTCTCCATTCTCGCCACCGAATTATTCCAGACCGCTCTTGCCGTGCACTTCATTTACAATGCCTGCCAAATCTGTGCACAGTTCCGCTGTGTTGGCATCATTATTGGCCGTAATCAAATCACCACAACAGATGTCCTGCACGCCCTCCCATGTCAGAGTCGACACGCTGCCAACAAATTGCCGCCGGAGTGGTCCTGTTCGGAAGCTTCAGGCTCGGTATCGGGTTCAACATCGATGAAGCCAGCCTCGCGAAAACAGTTTCGCACATATGTAGCCATCCCCGCCGCCTATGAAACCTTCACCATCTGCACAAGTGAATACAGGGACACAAAAAACAGCAATTCAGCTGCCGGGCAGTCTACAGATATGAACAAACGCTCCACAATGCGGCACCTACAATGTCTTAAACACACGAATTACGCCCAAGCAGTCACATTTTCGATGTTTTGTTGAGTGGCAGAAAAAGCGCGGAAAGCCTCTCGTTCCCCATCCTGATCACAGACGCACACCAACAGTGAGCAAGACTTGCACGCGCGATGAAGAAGCTAGCACGTGTGGACCTGCTTTGGGTCCGTTTCTAGTAATAAAACAAAACTCAGAAATAAAACGATTCCGAGTTCAAGCCAGCGTGGCTCGCGGCTGGCATCACGGAGCTGTGGAGACGGGCAGAGTTATGATAAAGAGAGAAGAGTTGACTTGCAAGCATGCTTGCAACAGACATGTGAAGGAGTTGCAATAGAGTGATGAGAGGCGAGCATACGGCGGGAAGGCGGCTTTGAAAATCAAAACATGTGGAAAGAAAGCAGGTCCAGTAGCTTGCTTGCAGGGTGACCGAAACGCGCAACTCGCATGTAGGAAAACTTGGTAGAACGGTTTGTGCGCGCCGAGGTAAAAAACAACCGCATTATGAGGCTGCCGGACTTCAACATTTCGCGATTCGTTCAGTGTAAAAGCCGTTTTTACGCTTCCAAATGCGTGCATTTCGTGTAAAAGCTATTTTTACTCTTCTAAACTCGTGCATAGAGCATGCTGGGCCAAGTATGTCCTAAACACGCAACAAATCACGAATTATCAATGCCGGTGGGGCAGCTCGTGCGGTGGAACGATACGACACTGATGCAGAAGAAACACAGACACAGACGATTGGGTACAGTCGATGGCCAACAATGTAGGCAAACGGTTTAACAAAACTAGCGATCAAAAACTGAGGGGAGAACAATTGGCCGACCGGTCTACGAAAGATTGGTGGCAGTGTAAAAACGTGGGCATGATCCGGCAATGCGGGGGACTCAGATTAGCAAGAGATAAAAGAACCGAGGTGGTGTGTAACAAAAAAACGGGCGGGGAAAACAACAAGTAGAGGGCTGCAGAGGCAGAGTCGGCGTTTAACAGTAGGAACCTACGCACACCTCACTGATGACTTATCAGTAATAGGAAGTATTTTCCCAGGAAGCCGCCGGAGCGCCAAATCCATTTGCTGTAACCGATCAGCAAGGCTTTGAGACGTTCCTTATAAGTGCAATTTTCTGCCATTGAAATAATGCATATTTCCATGGTCACACGGGTATCGTTTGTTTTAAGCAAAAGTTCGTTTTAAGTGGGGCCGCTATATGTGGGCTCCTAAACATGCTGCATCAGCCACTAGGCAGTTTTATGAAGAGTATTGATTCACAATAGTAAAAACTGATTGGCATTCGACTTTGACCATTACTGCCCTAGATGCACAGACAATCAAGCAGTCCTAGTACGTCAACGTTCTTCTAAGAGGCTAGATTGATTGTTAGATATGTGGGGTTTAGAGTTCCAAAACCACCATATGATTATGAGAGACGCTTTTTAAGAGGCTCCAAAGCAGTGAGATAACTTTCCGTGCTCTTTCACAGAGAACCCCACAACGGTGCTCACAGTAGCTTGTAGAACTTGTATGGCAAGTATAAAACTGATAGTTTCATAACGGGGCCATTAATGATCTTTGCACATTTCGAAGTCGGAATGCTAAGTCAGTTTATAACAGGGCTCTGGGTCTTGTACAAACCACACCACCATGGCTGAAGAGCAAAGCTATACAATAAAAAAACAGTAAATGAGCTGTGGCCCTTCGAGGTGTTACACGATGAATAACAATGATGAGTACTGAAACACTAAGGCAAATATTCTGCAGTGATGGCTTTTCCTTGTTCTATGCCAGTATTCATCATTCACTACTCCCAGCTGGCCCACCTCATTGATAACATGGGCTGGACATTTTCCTTCCCACTGAAAAAACATGAAAAATGCAAAAAGGCATCGCTACAAAATATTAGATCCAGTTAGTTACCGTACTCAGGTTAATTTCAGAATCTGACATAGCTGTTGCCGCAATGTAACAGAAGACTACAGTGATACTTCATTCATTCAATGCTTGTTCACTCTTTCGTTACCATGCCTATTCAAATCGATCACCGGTGATCGACATTCTGGATTGTCGATTGGGCAGGTTAAATTTGTTTCACGCACATCCACTAAGGTAGTTTCAGGTAGTTAGTTCAGCCACTCAACTTCCAGAATCAATTGGAATTTGCACGTTTTGGCAACATATTAACTTTTGGCAGACCTTTGTGCGAACCAATGTGCATGTGTTGTTGAAAATCTGCACTAGGCTGGCGAACTTGACAAAAGTGCATGCCCCTCGTGATTATGCTACTGTAACATCGCAGTTATGTAATAAGAAGAACCTTTGAAAATCAAATATCGAACTCTGTCAGCTACACAATTAGGCAGTGTGGAGCAGTAATAATTGCCAGAAATTTATGCCAGCTATTCAATAGAGAGCAGTTGCTAGGAGTCCAGGAAAATTTTTCTATAAAAAATATTCCTGAAGGTCCGCCGCATGTTGAAAGTGCCGAGGTTGTATTCTCAGCCAGTTTGCAACAGCTTTGTTTTAGCTTGTACTGTTATATCAGACACATAGTCACATCTGGTGTCACTAGTCGCTCCTATGGCATCATCCGCAAGCGCATGGGTGTGCACTAGTGCTGAAAAACACACGCAGCGCTCAAAACTGTCTTGCAACCGCACCTGAATTGAGTGAGGATGAGCTTAGAGTTCGAGGATGACAGCACCTCAGCGTAAGCTTTCATGGCGACGATGTTGTGTGTCAGCCTGAGACATCCGCAGCCATTCATAGATTTGTTTTCTTTAAAACCTCAACTTGTCTCCTCCGCTGCAAGTGCGTAGCTGCCGACCTTTGTGCCCAATCTTATTGCTACTCTAGTTACTTAGGAGTCGCTGGAGAGCGGTGTGCTGGTGTTGGCTGCAGAGCTTCTAACGACAACAAGGCCATTGGAGCACATCTTGGCCCTGACTACAGAGAAGAGCGAAATGTTTTAGAACTGTGCGCAATATTGTTTCTTTTTTAAGAGGATGTGCAAAATGCTAAGAAATATGCTTGGATGCATATTCATATGGATGAATATGGATGGATATGAATACGCAGAGTGAGCTGGCTCATGGAAGAAGGTGATGCTAGACGAAATAGCGAACATCATTATACATTTGATTTATAGAGGGATTATTCACATCATGAGCATCCGTCTATATTGGAAGACCTGGAGACTCTTATCACACAAAAAAAGCAAAATTTCACTGAGAAAAGTGTACAAGTTCATTTGTGTCTCACAAACAATGAAGCAATGCCTCACCACATGGCACGAACGAGGCAGCACCTAGGTTCTGATTTTGTTTGTCTATTTGAATAGGAACATTATGTACAACATTTATTATTTCTTGTACTGTTCCTGGGTCAGTTATCTTCAAAATGTACATTCTGAATTTTCTTTGTTTTGAATAATTTTGCATTTATAGTGTTTTTTATTGCACTGTTAACTAGCTGGCCACCAAAAATCACATGCTTATCACATTTTTATCTATTCTAAAATATTTTAGTTGCTCTATAACAAATTTTTTTGGATACAGCATTTGATTGTGCAAAATAGAACAAATTTCTTGGAAAGAACATTGCATTGTGCAAAATTTCGTATGCCACAATGTGTGCATTAGTTCTTTTTTAAACAGGCAGAAACAATCTTCCTGAGAAATCAAAAATAATCATTTTTGCGCGGTAATAAAATAGTTCATTAGAAAAAAAAACACACA